AAACAACTTAATATTGAAAACTTCAATGCTTCCGATGGATGGCTTGCAAAGTTTAAAAATAGAAATAATCTTAATACTTATAAACGAAGTGGAGAATCAGGAAATGTTCCAATTGAAAAAATTCACCAATTTCGAATTGAATTACAAGAAATTCTTGGTGAATATCCTTTGGAAAACATTTTTAACTGCGACGAAACCGCACTTTTTTGGAAATTAGAATCATATAAAACTATTGCTCATAAACTAACAGCTGGAAAAAAAGTATTAAAAGATTGTGTTAGTATTATGGTAACTTGTAGTGCAACAGGTGAAAAATTACTATTGTTGTTTATTTATAAGTTTCAAACATCAGTTGCACTTCGAGAAATTAATAAAGTCACACTTCCAGTTTGGTATTACTGGAATAACAAGGCTTGGATGCAAAGATCAATCTTTTCTAATTATCTCAACCAACTTAATACTATAATACGTATAAATAACTGACATATTCTTCTTTTAATGGATAATGCCAAGTGTCATGAAACTGAAAACTGTGAAACTCTTTCAAATATTCGAATTCACTTTCTTCCTCCTAATACAACTTCCTACTTACAATCGATTGATCAGGGAATAATTTACAGTTTAAAGGTAATTTTTATTTATTTTTATAAATATTTTACATATTTTTATCCACCCATCCACCTACACATTTACCCATTCACATTTATTCATCATTCACGCTATCAGCTTACTATATTTTATTTGTTTCCTATTTATTCGTCCACCCATTTTACCCATCACTCGTTCGTCCACCCATTTTACCCATCACTCGTTCATCCATCCATTTTACCCATCACTTATTTACCCATCAACTTATCCATATTTATTATTCCCACTCATTCGCTCATTAACTTACCCATATTTATTATCCCTACTTGTTCGCCCACCAACCTACCTATATTTAATTGTTTCTTTCTCAATATATTATTCGTTTGCTCACTAACTTACCTCAGCATATTTGAATTTTGCCCATCAACTTACCTATAATTTATTTTTCACTTAATACATTTGCATTTACCATCTATTTGCCACCAACTCACCTATATTTACTATTACCTGCCAACTTACCCATATTTATTATTCCCACTCATTCGTCCATTAACTTATTCATATTTATTATCCCTACTTATTCGCCCATCAACCTACCCATATTTAATTGTTTCTTTCTCAATATATTATTCGTTTGCCCACTAACTTACCTCAGCATATTTGAATTTTGCCTGTCAACTTACCTATAATTTATTTTTCACTCAACACATTTGCATTTACCATCTATTTGCCACCAACTCACCTATATTTACTATTACCTACCAACTTACCCATATTTTTTTGCTATAACTCGTTCATCTACCAACTTACCCGTTTAAATTTCTTGTATTTTCGAGACATTCGAAGGATCTAAAAAAAAAATTTTAATGTTAAATATTGCTATTGCTGTACAACATTTCTATGTTTCACAATTGTATACGTATTATATATTTACCTATTCACATATTTTTTTTTTTTTTAGACTCACTATCGACGAAATTTATACAAAAATCGACTTGAAGTATATGAACTTGTTACACCCGAAGATCCCATTCCTAGCTTCCTTACGATTCGAAATGCAATAGAACTTTCTGCTACCGCCTGGAATTCTGTAACTGAAGCTACAATTAAAAGTAGTTGGTTTCGCACAGGCATACTTCCTTCCGAGGCTTCGGATGACTATAAATTTACTGATGGCGAAATTGAAGATAAACTTGCGGATCTTATTTATCAAATGCCACAGATTTCTAATTCTCTAACTGCGATAGAATATATCCAAATCGATGATCAAGCTTTAAGTGGAGAACAAATAACAGATAAAGAAATTATTCAATTTGTAAATGGTGAAGAGGCTCAAGAACCTGAAAATAATGAAGAATTAGAACTACCGGTGAAAGTATCTGATGCTTTGGAGGGGTTAACAAAGGTGATAAAATATTTACAACAAAATGATCTTGTAGGGATTAGTTATAAATATATAAAAATATTGGATAGTTTAAATCATCATATTATTAGAAAAAATATTGAAAGTAAGCAACAACAAAAAATAGTTAATTATTTTGAAAATCAATAAAGTAATCAATTAATAAATTTGATATATACTACATATTTTATATTCGCTATAGTGTATTTTTATGTAATGTAATAGTAAATCTACTATAAAGTGAGATTTCTCTTTTGTGGATATCTCGTTATAGTATAGAAACCCATTGGATTTTTGACCTACACTATAAAGAGAGTAACTGTGTAATATATAGTAAAAAAAATTTCATTATATCCAGTAAATTTAAATATAAAAAAATGATTTGGGTTTACATTTTTTCTTTGTTAAAAACTGGTTTTTCATTATATCCAGGTTTTTTTTATTATATATTACATATTAAAAAAAACTTCATTAAATCCAGGTTTCGTTATATCCAGGTTCACTATGTATTATAGTCTTATATATATTAATATTACTATTAACTGTAAGTTTATTCTTATTAATTCACCTTAATTGCCCAGGTATCAACTTGTACCACGTAAATGGGTTTATAGTCAGGTTTTTGAAAAACAATTCTCATCAAGCATATGTTAATCTTCTATAAATCATCTTGTCAATCATGTTGTTTCCAGTTTATGCAGCTGTGATGAATTTCCATACATATGTGTACTTTCTAGTAAATGTTCCAAAAACTGTAGTTCTTGGTTGACACAAGCTATCAAATCTAGGGGTATTTAATGTCAAGTAGAGCATGACACCATAAATCTTCTAATAAATATATCAAAGAAATTTGATTGGCTTAAGCTATCAAATCTAAGGATATGAATTCCAAGTAGGATGCAACTCCTATACAATAGTAGTGTTTACTAACACAAGCATATTAATAATCTTGTCAACGATTCCTCCAGATATCTTACTTTGTATTAATATATGGCATTCTATTTCTAACTGAAAATATTATAAGAAAAAGTGAAGGAAAGAAACTGGAAGTAATACCTATTGTGATAAATAAAACTCTATAGAGGCAATCATCTTAACAGAAAGAGACACCAGGTACCACGGAGAAACGATCACTAAAGCTATTTTATTTGAAAGCAGACATCTCATCACTTTTTTTGTCTTCTTTTTTCAGATGATTATCATAATACCAACCAGATGATTGTCACATCGCATCACCTTTTCTGAAGATTACAATCTTAATACCTGCCAAATTGGTGTGTGTGAATTGGCTTCTTATAAGAAACAGTATATAACTAGTTATAGTGCCAGATACCATATTAATTCTGTTCAATTACCTTCACATGGGATTGAACTGATATCTTATAATCTGATCTGTGGAGTACTAACTACTATGCTATGGATCCACAGATCATTAATTATATTTATATCTAAATTTATATATTATATTATTATATATAAAAATTTATTAAATACTAGTGGATCAATAATATAGTAAGTAATGTTTCATGGTTTCCAAATATATATCCCTAGTTTAATATCCACAGGAGGCAAAAATATATAAATTTATTTTTACTTGTGGGTTTTATCAGATTTCTACAAATGTCATATCCAAACATTTGGCTTTTGACCAAAATTCAATTAGACTATATGAAAATGGAACCTTTGATCTTTCTAACAATCATGGACTGAAAACAGGTCGAAGTAGGAAAGGTTGTATAAGGAAAAACTTCTGATTTAACTCCAATAAAAGCCCTACTATATCCTGTGTTATTAGAAAGTAAGTCAACTTGAAAAAGATTGTCGAGGTGAATATCGCTTCTTAAGAGCAATAGTTAGTCATTAAAAAAGGTTTTCCTATAGGAGTTACGTCCTGCTTGGCATTTGTGCCCCTAGATTTGGCAGCTAAAGCCAACTGATCTTCCTTTCTTGGAGTGTCTACTAGGAGATAATAGGAGTCATGCCTTACTTGATATTTATGTTCTTAAATTTGATAGTGTATGCCAATCAAAAAAAGTAAGCTCTCGAAGCATTTGTTAAGAAGTATAGAAACTCTGGTACTCCCTAGTCCTAGAGGCTAGTAAGTCAAAAATGTGATGTAAAAGGTATCTTACTAAATAATAATACAAGTCACATAAGAAAAGGATTCTCTAATCTTGAATCATCCGAATATACTACCTTTTTAAAGATTCAAGATAAAAAGTATTAAGATATCCGGTTGTCCTACTCACCTTTACAAGGTAGATCCACTCTTTAACAAAAATGGATTAACATGTTAAGTGATTTAAAACTAATGGCAGGATTTTCATCTCCTGACTAGTTCCACTATAATATAAAAATAAGCCTACCTTGAGTATAAGTTTATAAGTTAAAGGTTAAGAAGTAGAATAGGTTAGTATTAGCTATAGTTTAGTACTATAGAAGATATATGATATATAATCAATAATTTTTATATCAATAAAATGATTGGTATCTAAACCTGTTCTACTATAAAAAAACAAAAATAAATATAAAAATTTATTAAAATTATTATTAAAAAATTAAATAAAAAAAAATTAAATTAATTAATAATTTATTTAATTTATTTTAAGAAAAATATTTAATGGCATTTATTAATATTTAATAAGATAATTATAGGTTTTTATTATAACTTTTATATAATTTTTTATACTAATTATTAATTTTTGAAACATATTACTTGAAATTTATAACCAATATTCTTATAAAAAAATTTTCAATTCATTTAAATTTTTTGAATAAATATTTTTTGCCTTTATATATTATTTAAGCTCATTTTATAAATATTTAATAGGATTTAAGTTTGAATTTTGCCCTAATTATAATAAGAGAGATATCACTACTTTATTTATGAAATTTTATATTTGTATATTAATGTGAATTTTAGTATTATTTTGTTAAAAAAAATACTTAATATTGCTTTTTTTAAATTTTTCTAAAAAAAATATTAGATAATAGTTAACAATCTTTTCTATATATTTTTAACTATTAATATAACCATTAATTCTAATTAAAGGATCCAACCCAAATCAAAAAAAATATTTCATAATATAATCTCCACTATTATATTTTACCATAGAAATAAAATAACTAGAATTGTATTTTTTTTTAAAAAACCTCTATACATAAATTTTTTCATTATTTCTAAATAATATAAATCTTGATTTATTATTTTATACTATTTTTTTTAATATTTATTTTCTAAAAACATTTTTTATATACAGTATTTAATTCAATTGATTTTTTTGATTAGCCTTATTAATAAAAGGCTTTCTAAGACTTATTTGACTATAATATCCTATTTCATATAAAATATATCTAATAATTCTTTGGCTCATATTATTTTTAGATAATTTTAAAAAAATTTTGTATATTTTTTCTATAGGTTTGTGGTGATTTTTTTTATTATTATCTTAAGATAGTATTTATTATATAGAGTTATTTTTTTCAAGTATTCACTTCTTAAGACAATAGAAATAGTATTAAATTTGTAAAATTTTATTATAATATTATGAATTATAATCTTATCATATCCAATTTTTTTTGAAATTGTTTTTTTAGAATTACTAGTTTTATGAAATCAATAATTTTTTTATGCTTAAAATCTATTAGCTTTTTTTTTTAAACATTAAAAAAAAAAAACAATAAAGTAACTGAGCAAAAATAATATACATATATAAGGCCATTAATATTAATAATATAAAATATGTCTTTTTTTTTGTCAAATTATACAATTATATAAA